CCCCCGCGCGACCCCCCACGAACCTGGCCCAGCCCTTTGGTCAATCTAGACCTCCTGCCGGGAAACGCGCAACTTCTCCCGCACAAAATTCTGCCGCGACCGCAGGCTTCCCCATTCACTGCCGGCGACTGCTTCGGGCGCGTCTTTGCCGTACAGCTGCGACCTCAGCGTCCGCAGCTGCCTGGCCTCCAGCTGCGGGTCCGCGCCGCCCCCGATGCGCGCGACTTCCAGCGGGTGGCGCTCCACGCACGGCCTCAGGAACTCGTCGAGGGCATGATTTTTGTAGGTGAGGATCAGGATGCGGTTGCTCGGCGCCAGCAGCTCCACTATGCACTGACCCACGAACGTCTTCCCCGTCCCGGGCGGCCCCTGGATGACCGCGACGCGGTTCTGGAGGGCATGCAACACCGCCTTGGCCTGGCTGGGGTCCAGCACCGGGGCGCCACCTGCCTCGGCCTGGCAGGCTGTCTGCGACTCGGCGGCAGCGCCTCTGAACCAGCCTCAACGGCACCTTATGCCATCTCCGAGGTCGGCAGGCCTAGGCGCGCGCCAGCAAAAGCTTCTGGAGCCCCCAAGCCGTTGCCGATCGCGGGGGCAGGGATGGCATTGAGGCTGGCAGCCTGTGGCATTGTGGTCGGTCCTCTCAGCTGCCTCGGGCCTCGCACCATCCCCAACGGCCTCGGCCTGCCCATGCTGTCTCAGCGCAGCCATGGCGCCCGCCAGGCACCGCGTCCGATCCACAACCGCGTACCTCAGCTCATCTGTGCCGCGCCCCCCAGACTTCGCCAGGAGATGATCGCCCAACCTCGCAGTGCCGCATCCGCCGGGCGGGATGCCCCCGACGCCGAGAACTCATCACGCTCAGCCCCTTTGGAGCCTGTGCTCAGGACCTCTGGAGGCGGCGGACAATGAGAGCTAAATGATGGCATAAACATAGCAACTCGGAGGTCGGCACAAATGTCTTGGATCGGCGGAGCGCGCCAAGGGCGGCGCCAGATGCGCCGTCAAGGGACCCAAACGCTGATCTGAGGAATCCGCGCGGACCTCCAATGTGTTACGCTTGTGCCATCGTTCCCCAAACGGTGCTTGCACATAGGGGTTTTTACTTCTGTTCTAAGGAATAGGGCTGGTGTGCCGATCTGGCGACTATGTAGTCGCCGTCGCCGCCCTGTCGCCGCCCGTCGTCTGGGCTGGTGTGCCGCTCTGGCGACTATGTAGTCACCGTCGCCGCCCCGTCGCCACCTCGTCGCTCCCCGTCGTCTGGGCTGGTGTGCTGCTCTGGCGGCTATGCGTCGTCGCCGTCGCCGCCCCGTCGCCACCTCGCATATATTTTCTTTTCCAAATAACTATTCAGACCCCCCCCTCTGGGGTTAACAATACACCTTTTCGTACTGCATTTTACATACCAGTTTTGCCCCATCGTCCATCCTAAATATGAATTCGTGCCATCCCAGCCAGGCGGGCGTTCGCACCCCCCTCATCTCCTGCCAACAAATACTATGCGCGCACACTCGTTTGTCAACAATCATCAATTTTCAAGAATCCCTGGCAAAAAAAACGGGACGAAGTGCACACGCGCGCGTCGTCGCGCGCATGCCGAAATCTTACCAAAAACCTGACATTTCGTAAGGCTTTCAGAATCAGGTGTCACGTAAACATATAAAACACCTGGTTTCGCAACACGATTTTCCAATAAAAAATTGCGCTCTCGCGCTCTTGCGATTCTCTCTCTCTCTCTCTCTCTCTCTCTCTTTCTCTCTTATATATATACACATTTGTATACATAAAACACATCGGTTTCAACATTTTCATAACATGTTTCCAAATTTGCCTCTCGCGCACGTGCTGTCGTAAGAATCCCTTGCCAAAGAGGGGACGAAATGCGCACGCGCGCGTCGTCGCGCGCGCATGCCGGAATCCGGCGAAAACCTCAATTTTCTTAAGGATTTCAAAAGCGAGTGCCCTGAGAACATACCAAACACATGGTTTCGCAACTGGGCGCTTGCGCTAGCGCTCTCGCGAATTCTTAACACACCCATGCGTTTTTCACCAATTTCGTTATATTCGGCCAAGCAGGCCTTTCGCGCCGCATGTTGACATCATTCGAACGCCCTTGCGCGCGTGCTGGGGGGCACGATCCGCGTCAAATGATACCATTCGGGCCCCTCTCGCGCGTCGGCCGCGCGCGCATGTCGAACTCCGTCCGGAAACTTCATCACCGACGCGAAGACATCGTCATCGTCGTCGGCGTGGTCATCATAAACGCCGTCGATGGCCGTGCCGTCGCCGTTGTCATCATCGTCACTACTTTCATCATCGTGTCTACCGTTGGCGACGTTGCCATGATGGCGCGCCCGCCCAAGTGGCCGACTCGCACTGACGTGCCCGCGGGGAAGTGCCCAACGGTCAGCTCCACCGCGGCCGCGTCGATCGCGCCACGCTAGCTGGCCGCTGCGCACGCGAGCGCGCGCGGCCGCAGAGATGCACCAGCCAACACCAAGCACTCATCGCAATCGCCGCATGGGGTGTGGAAGCCAACTTGGGGGTGGGTGGGTGGCACGATTGCGCGAACAGTGGAGTTGACACCTGCGAGTTCCACAAGTGAAGTGCACCGCATATTCTCTTTTCTAAAATAATATTCGGATCTGCCTCCCCCCCCGTCGGGGCTTAGCGCCTTACTTTTTCGCAATGCGAAGTGCGTGTGATTTTGCCCCTGCCGTCCATCCTAAATTCAAATTACCGCCATAGTCCCTTATCGGTCCCGCCCGCTCACCCTTTGCAGAAAACTATGCGCGCGCATTCGTTTGTCAAAAACAAGCAGCTTCCCAACATCCTTTGCGAATATCTTGAATAAGTGCACACGCGCGCGTTGTCGCGGGCGCATGCTGACCCGTCAAAAACCGCAGGCTTCGTGAGGTTTTCAAAACCAAATGCCCCGACGGCAATGGAAACACATGGGTTCGCATCTGAATTTTGTTCTTAAGTCTGCGCTCGCGCTTTTGCAACTTCTTACAAACCCGCTATGTGTTTTTGCTTAACCGTTGTCATCAAATTCTACCAAACGTGCTTTCGGCGCGCGCGCGTGTCAAAATGGTTCGAACGCCCTTGCGCGCGTGCTGTGGCAAGACTGCCGTGCAACAGACATGGGTGAAGTGCGCGCGCCCGCGTCTCGTCGCGCGCGCGTGCCGCAAGGCTGGAACACCTCAAATTCCAAACAAATTTCAAACTCGAGTGTCCGGGAAACATATAAACCGACGATTTCGCAATCTCAGATTTCAATTTAAATGCTGCGCGCGCGCCCTTGCATCTTTTAAAGCAAGAGTTGCCTCTCCAAACATTATCAAACTCGACCAAACGGGCCTCTCTCGCCGCGAGTCGATATCAGTCGAACGCCCTTGCACGCGAGCTGGCGGTGGTGGTGATGGTGGTGATGGTGGTGGTGGTGATGGTGGTGGTGGTGGTGGTGGTGTGTGTGTGTGAGTGTGTGTGTGTGTGTGTGTGCGTGCGTGCGTGCGTGTGTGTTTGTGTGTTTGTGTGTGTGTGTGCTTTCGTGTGTGTGTGTGCGTGTGTGTGTGTGTGTGTGTGTAGGGGGGCGCGGCCCCTGTCAAATGACGCCATGCGAGCCACTCGCGCCCGTCGCCGCGGGCGCATGTTGAACTCCATTCAAAACCTTCTTCACCGACGCTTGGGCGCCATCATCGTCATCGGCGTGATCGACGTCGGCGCCGTCGTGGGCCTTGCCATCGTCATCGCCATCATCGTCGCCGTCGTCGCTACGACCATCATCGTCGTTTCTACCGTTGTCGACGTCGCCATTCTACTGCGCCCGCCCGGGCCGCCGACTCGCGCTGAAGTGCCCGCTGGGAAGTGCCCAGCGGTCAGCGCCACCGCGGCCGCGTCGGCCGCGCCAAACAAGCTGGCCGCTGCGCGCGCGAGCATGCGCGGGGCAGCGCGGCCGCAGATATGCACCAGCTAACGCCGAACACTCATCGCAATCTCCGCCTGGGTTTCGCAGACCAAGTTGCGGGTGGGCGGGTGGGGTGATTGCTTGAGCAGTGGAGTTGGTAACTCTAAGTTTTCCCAGATGAATTGCACCACGTAGCTTCTTCTCCTGTCAAACTAATGCTAGGATCTACCTCCCCCCCTCCCCGGGACTTCGCGGGCCGCCGGTGTGCGTGGCAGTTTATATGTTTTTTCGCCCCATCGTGCGACCAAGAATGAATCATACCATCCCAGGCAGTCCCTTATCCCCCTCATCCTTGTTAAAAAATATGCGCGCGCCCGTTTCTCCCGAACCGCGAGTTTCCAAAGCCGACTGGCAACTGGAAGAATTAGACGAAGCGCGCGCGTGTCGTCGCGCACGCGGTCCAAAATTTTTTAGACCACCAAAGGTTTTGCGCGGATTTCAAAATCGAGTGCCCCGAAAACAACAAAACAATGGTTTCGCAACGGGTTTGTGCATAATAGAAAGGGACGCGGTCGCGCCCTTGCGAATTTTGCAGAAAACCAGCGGATGTCCAACATGTCCATCAAAATCTACCAAACATGTCTCTCGCGCGAGCATGTCGAAATCATGCGGGCGCCCTTGCGCGCGTGCTGTCGCAAGAGCCCCTTGCAAAACGTAGGGCAAAGTGCGCGCGCGCGTCGTCGCGCGCGCGCGTGCCGAACTCCTGCAACAACCTTGGGCTTCGCGCTGATTTCAAAATCGGTTTCCAGAAATAGACGTTACACTTGCGAAGGCTGGGAAAAAGCCGCGGGCTTCATGGCTGTTCATCAAATTCGACCAAGCGGGCCTCTCGCGCCGCGCGTCGAAATCATTCGAGCGCCCTCGCGCGCTGGGGGGGGAGATCTCTGTCAAATGAAACCATGTGGGCAGCTCGCGCGTCGGCCGCGCGCGCGCGTCGAACTCCCTCCAAAACCTTCGTCACCGACGCGAGGGCTCCGTCATCGTCGTCGGCGCGATCAGCATTGGCGCCGTCGCTGGCCTTGCCGTCGTCGTTGTCATCATCGTCGCCAGCATCGCCACCGTCGTCATCGCGTCTACACTTGTCCACGTTGCCCAAATACTCGCACTGGAGTGCCCGCTGGGAGGTGCCCGGCGGTCAGCGCCGCCGCGGCCGCGTCGGTGGCGCCAAAATACCTGGCCGCTGTGCGCGCGAGCCTGCGCGAGCAAGCGCGGCCATGGGGGTGCGCCGGCCAACTCCAAGCACTCCTCGCAATCGCCGCCGCGTGGGTTTCGCAGGCCAAGGTGCAAGCGGGTGGGCGGGGTGAATTGCGCGCGCAGTGGCGTAAATAACTCACTGCGAAGAAGAATTAGTTATCCTGTCTAGAAAAGAACTCGATCCCCCCCATCCCCACCCGGACCGATCGGTTGTTGGTTTCGCTTGTGACTTCATATATGATCCGGGCTCTTCGTCCATCCTGCGTATTAATTCGTGCCGTCGCAGCCGGGCCGGCGTCGACCCCCCCGCCATCCTCTGCGGGAAATATTATGCGCGCGCTCTCGTTCTTCAGGAACCAGCAGTTTTCAAAAATCCAATGACAAAAACACAAAGTGCAAGCGCGCGCTTCGTCGTGCGTGCATGCCGGGAGCCGTGAACAAAACCATCGTTTTCGCAAGGATTTCGAATCGAGTATCGCGAAGACATATGAACGCACGTGGCTTTGTAACGAGAGCTCGCAGGAAAAGTTTGCGCCCGCGCTCTCGCGGATTCTTAAGAACGCCATAGGTCTTTCAACATGTTCATGCAATTCTTTCGAATTAGCCTCTCGCGCGCGCGTCGAAATCATTCGAGCGCCCCTGCGCGCGCGCTGTCGCGAGAATCCCTTGCGAGAAATGGGGCGAAGTGCG